ATACACGATATAACGCCGCTCGTCACGATAGCGTTGCCAATTTACAATGGATCTTTATCAAACTCGAAATACTTATTCTACAGATAGATACCGAGATCAAGTTCGAATATGAGCTTAATCGGTCAAGTAATTTAGAAATGCCATGATTTCAAAATTTTCAAAATCATAAAAATTAACATTTCTCCATTTTCGTCCTTCAATAACTTTTGAATGGGATAATTTATCGAATTCCTGTAAATTGCATCTGAAAGCTCTTTAAATAAGCTTCAATTTGGGTACTATATCATATGTGTAGTCCCAAAATTATGTCCTATTCCGCTATGCCAATTATGAAATTTGCTATTGCACTCGTTTTTTTTTTGTTTTTTTTCCTTTACTGTACACCAGCAGTATGTAAACAAATAACGAGTTAGGGTGAAATAAGGTTTTAATCGCCGGTTTACTAGAAATCCATTATTTTTTTCTATTTATGATGAAATCTACTTCCATTTCGACTGCCGAATGGTCTTTTCTTTACTTTTACAGTGTTCCCGAACGGCAGTTCAACAGGGTTAGCCTACGCGAAGCCTATGGGAGTAGGGACGGGTATATTAATGGGATTGGATTTCCTAAACAACATAATGTCTTCGAATAAGCAGCCTGAAATGAACATGCCAGACATAATCTACGGATCACTCACCAACACCAAAGACAACCAGATTCGAAACAAAAATGTAAATGGTTCGATCTCTTTCGGATCAAATACTGTGCAAAATAATAACGTTTATGGAGGTCAACCGCCTTATGATAACTCTGATTACTCTGATAACTCTGGTAACTCTGATAACTCTAATGGCTATCAGAATTATTATTGATTATCATGAAGTTAAAGTATCCCGGGTCAAAAAATTTAATCTGTTTTATGAATAATGAAAATTTTTAATATTTTTCATTCAATTTAATTTTATTATGTCGATCTATTTTATATAAGAATTTAATCTGTTTTTGCCCGTACTATTCCCATTTCAGACCAATTTTAGATCATTTTTAATGTTGTAATAAAATTTTTTTCTATTGTTTCAAGACCAAAATCAGACTTTTTTTGTCACAATCATTTAGCTGGTTTTGATCGCATTAAGGTCAAAAACAGACCAAAACGTTCCATAATTTTTAGTCGGTTTTCCATTGCCTGTAGATCAAACACCGACCTTTTACGGATTTGATAATAATAATAACAATAACAATAATAATAATAATAATAATAATAATAATAATAATAATAATAATAATAATAATAATAATAATAATAATTTATTTAGCCCTTGGCTATTATCAGTCTTTTTACAAAAAATTTACATCTATTATTTTACATTTTTCTTATCACAATCATTTATCACATAATCAACTATCAATATTTTTGTTTAACATATTCTTTTAAAGATTTTCTAAAATACATTAATCTATCTTCATTTCTTACATTGATAAGTAGGCTATTATACCATTCATAACCCTTGTAAGTTAAACATTTTTCAGCAGTGTGAGCCTTTGTTTTATTAATAACTACATTAGAGCCTGATCTGGTGTTGTAGTTATGAGTCTCATCTATTTTAATAATTTTATTTACCAAAATTTCCGGTTTTCTATTTAATTTCAATTTGTGTATAAATATACAAGTATTAAAAATTATTCTTTGCTTGACACTCATCCAACCAAGTGTTTCAAGCATATCACTTACTCTGGTGTATTTATTAACTCCCAACACCAGTCTCATGGCTCTATTCTGGATTTTTTGAATTCTATCCATATCAGCCAAAGAAAAATTGATCATCACGCTGCTGCAGTAATCAATGTAAGGAGCAATAATAGTTTTGTAAATTAAATTTTTAGAATACGAACTTATAACATTTCCAAGACGATACATTACATTTAGTTTCCTGGCCATTTTATTTATTATTTCATTCGCGTTATCCTTGAAGGTCAAATTTTCATCGATTATAATCCCTAAGTATTTAGTCTTTTCTACTTCTGAGATGTTAAAGTTATTTAATCTAATATTACAACGATTTTTAACGTGGCTATTTTTCATATCATGCAATAACATAAACACTGTTTTTTTTAATATTAATCTTCATTTTATTTCTTAATAACCATTCACTTAAAACTGAAAGACTCATATAAATTTTATTCTCAATCTCCTTCAAGTCGTCACTCGCAAAATAAATCATCGTATCGTCCGCAAATAATCTACATTTGACACCTAAATTTCTCATTAATTCAAATATATCATTAACATAAATCAGAAAGAGTACTGGGCCAAGTTTT